CGACCGCAACCCAAAATTCACGTCGAAGTTCTGGCAGGAGACGTGGGCACAGTACGGCACCCGCCTGCAGTTTTCGTCGTCGTACCATCCACAGACCGACGGACAGACAGAGAGGACAAACCAGATGATGGAGCAGTTGATTCGCACGAACTGCCCCGACATCACCAGGTGGGAGGATTCCCTTCCCATGCTCGAGTTTGCGTACAATAACGCCCCATCTGCAACAACCAAGCAGTCGCCGTCCTACCTGAATTACGGGATAGATCCGGTAGTACCCTCGTCAACAACTCCCGATAAAGGCCGTCAGCCGCTACGCCGACCGACATCGACGGAATTTACCCTTCCGTGACGGGCAGATGGTCCTGGACACAAAAAACCTCAAGCTGCCCCAGCCTGCAAAACTGCGTCCACGCTACGTGGGACCCTTTCGCATCAGTCGGATGCTGACACCAGTCATTGCGAAACTTCTCCTACCGGACGACTGGAAAATCCACGACGCTTTCCACGTCAGCTTACTTCGCCACTATGTAGCACCGCAGTCGTCCGATGTCGCCCGACCCCACCAGGCGCCAAGTGTCCGACCTGTGGCAGACCCGACGCTTCAACCTTGGAAGATATTGAACCATCGCATTCGTGCGACCCCCGCCGGACGCCACGTCGACTTCCTACTACGCTGGGTGGATCGCGGCTGACTCACTACAAGGGCACTCAGTACTTCGACAGCATCTTTCTCGCTGACATGTGCCTGATGTTGACCACCTTTCTTAAGGGGGGGAGGGGGGGGGGGGGGGGGGGGGTAGTGTAAGGAATTTCGCTAATTCCTTACTGAGGCATCTCTTACGTATACAATTCCAACTTTCGGATTTCAGGCTCGGTCCGACGACCTTGCCTTCCGAACGTTTCCCGCGTCGCCCTCGGGTTGCCCAACCCCAAACCTGCACCCAACCTTCGCGCGACTCCGCGACCTTCGGCCTAGCTAGATGTGCTATATTATACATAGGCCTCGTTGTTTGCTCAGTAGTTGTAATCACTTCCGCGATATTGCATTCTGCGCACTCTTCTTTCATACAACTCATAACACATTTGGTAACTCTACACTAGCAGCCCATCACGCGAATGGTAACTACATGAAATTCCCGCCGAAATTGAGCCTGATTCTGGTTTTCCCACTCGCGTCAGAATAAATTGACGAATCCTGAAGCAAAAAACCTCTGACACACTCTCCGAAATTCTGACACAGCTTTCCGAAATTCTGACACACTTTCCGAAATCCTGACACACTTTCCGATTTTCAAGCTAATTGCAAAAACTTCAGTTTTTGGAAAACAATTGTTGATACACATTGATATTCTGGCGCTCTATCCGCAAACTTTTTGTACTTTATTCTGTCGTACAGCCGGGGCAAACAAAACAACTTTTTGTACTTTATTCTGCTGTACTTTATTCAGCCCCGTATAAGTTTTGCCATGGGCCTGCACCCACGGTTAAGGGCGGGAAAAGGCGCAGGGTTCTGAAAAAACGGGCCTGAATCTGAGGAGGTCAGGGGGCAAAGTTATGGTCCCAGAAGCTTCGACAGGCCTGATCTGGAGCCTTGAAAGCTCCCCGCGGCGCAAGACCCGCCTTTCCGTGGCTGCGGTGTTCCGCTTTTCCCTCCCCAAGCCTCGAGTCTGTCTCTCTCCGCTTCTTGCTGCTGCTGCTGTGACCAGCGGCAGATCTGCCAACACCAGCCGCTAATCTGCCTTAGAAATCCGCCACCCCAGCTTATCTCATTCACAACTCCTTCCAAACACAAGGTACTACGCTGCTGGTCTTCGTAGTTCGGTTTACTTCCTCGTTCATTCAGTTCGACATGGCCTCAGACTATCCGCCGTTTTTTTCCGCACTGAGCTTTTGGAAGAACAGCGAGAAGCAGGCAAAATCGTGCCTTGAGCCGCTGTTTACCAACAACAGCACGAATCTCACCGCTACAATGCCAATGCTGCTCGAGCTGCTGCCGGTGACATCGGATGCTACAGGAGTGTCAGACGCTGAAGCGAAGCATGCTGAAGCGTCGCATGCCGAAGCTTTTGATGCTGCAGCTGCGGATGGTGAACCATTTGATCATGCAGCTGCGGAAGCGAAACTGACAGATCTTTCAGCGCAGGACGCTGAAGCCTCGAATGCGAGATTGTCGGATGCAGCAGTCCCTATCGTTGCAACACCGCATGAAGCGGCATCAGATCCGCTTGTTCACCTCTGACGGTTCTGTCTTCGGCGGCCTGCGCGAAGTCAGTGAGTACGGTCGTAGCGTTGCGCATCCCGAAACCGAGCAAGGGAGCAGCGATTAGGAGGCGAGTGGAGGGAACGACACTGATTCCCAGGCCTAAATGCGCCGCACCGCACAGGGAGGTGAGCGGAGTGGAAGTCGAAGCTGCGGGCAAGCGGCCTCGCAGGACGTCCAAGGCCGTGCCGGCCGCAATCCCACGCTGGCCATGGCGCCCTTGACTGCTGCACGCATGGAAAGAAAAGAAGGGAAAACCATCTCCGAAATCCTTAATTTTTTTTTTGATGAAAATGGAGGTTGAATAGAGGAAAGCTTGGGGTATGAGATGGAGGGATGGCATAAAAGGCATGTGAAAGCAGCGGAGCACAGCACAGCAACACGCCAAGAGAGATGACTGGGGGATGGGTGTGGTGTGGATGGGGAACACGGTGGCACTACCCTTTTTTGCGCCCTGCTTCACAGCAGGGTGTTTGTGGGAGTGTGGTGGGTGGTTGATGGCTGGAGGGGGTGAGGGAAAGCTGTTGTGCTGCTGTGCCTTCAACGACACCTCCAGGCTTGAGCGCTCCTGACGGATGGCTCCAGGCTTGAGCGCTCCTGACGGATGGCTCCAGGCTTGAGCGCTCCTGACGGATGGCTCCAGGCTTGAGCGCTCCTGACGGATGGCTCCAGGCTTGAGCCTTGTAGGGAGATTAGGAACCTGGCAATGTGACAAGTTTCTGTCGACCCTGCCTTTGATGTAGTTGCATGTTAGGCCTTGTTGTTTCCACTTGCAATCGATGATTGGATGCCTGTAATTCGCAATGTCAGTCAACTAGAAACAATCACCATACAACAATACTGCAATACACTGGCATCTACCTGTTTCCCCATGTCTTCCTATTTTCCCTGATCCCGCCTCTCTCCCTGCTTGCCCATGCCTCCCTGTTTCCCCATCTTTCCATGATTCACCGTGTCTCCCCTTTTCCCCATATCCCCATGTTTCCGCCTGTATCGCTGTTTCACCATGTCTCCATCCCTGTTCCCCATGTTTTCCTTTTTCCCCATGTCTCTGCGATTCACCATGTCTCTTTGTTTCCTCGTATCTCCTTGTTTCCCATGTGCTTTTGTTTTCCCATGCCTATCTGTTTCTCCATGCCTTCCTATTTCCCCATGTCTCCTTGTTTCTCTATGTTTTCGTTTTTCCCCATGTCTCCCTCGTTCTTCATGCCACCCTTGTTCCCCATGTGTCTCCTTTTTTTCACCATCATGTCCCTAAATCCTCATCTCTCCTTGTTTCACTATGTGTTACCGTTTCCCCAAGTATCCCCGTTTCGTCGCTTCCCCATGCCTCACGGTTTCCCCATGCCTCACGGTTTCCCCATGCCTCACGGTTTCCCCATGCCTTCCTATTTGACCGTGTCTCCCTGTTTCCCCATGCCTCCCTGTTTCCCCATGCCTCCCTGTTTTCCCATGCCTCCCTGTTTCCCCATGTCTCCCTGTTTCACCATTCCTCCCAATTTTCCCGTGTCACTCCCTGTTTCACCATACCTCACTGTATCACCATGTCTCCCTGTTTCCCAAACCCCATGGCTTTCCCACTATGCAACCTTATCTCACCATGTATCTCTGTTTCTTTATGCCACTCTCCCCATGTCTTCCCTATTCTTCATCTCCCTGATTCCACATCTTTCCCTGTTTCACCAAGTACTGGTATCCCGTTTTCTCATGTCCCCCTGTTTCTCCATGTCACTCCTTGGTTCCTCATGCCTCCCTGTTTACCCATATCACTCCATGTTTTCCCATGCCCCAATGTTTCCCTACGTCTCTCATTGTCACTAAACATCCTTGTTTCCCCAAGTCCCCTCGTTTCCCCATGTCTCCTTGTTTCCCCATATCTGCCTCTTTCACCACACTTGTTTGCCCTTGCTTTTCTTATTTCACATGTCTCCCTGCTTCCCATGCCGTCCTGTTTCACCATGTCTCCTTTCCTCGCTCACTTCACTGCCTTCCCTTCCCTAATAGCTCATGTCCCGCTGTCCCTGGTACTTGTCAGCACACTAGCATCCCTGTCACCCACCTTTTAGCTCAAAGAGTAGCATTGGAACTGCGATCTGTAGTCTAAAAAAAATCATAATATACATACCACAGTGATCCAAAATGCATCGACCGCCAGTACTGCTCTATTGACTGCCCCATTCAGAGCATTTTGAGATGAGGTTTCAAGCTTCATTTGCACACAAATCACTGGTCTGCGTGGGTGTATGCATTTCTTCATGCCACATGCTTCGCCAAGTCACTCGGCCTATACATTAAAAAAAAAGTCGCTGAAATTCTGCCTGCATGCACGGGATGCAGAGTAGCTTCCATATCTTCCCAGCCTAGGCCAGTCCAGCAGCAGGGTGGCCGGCAGGAAGGGCGGGGTGGAGCATCAAGGGGGCGGGCCGTCAAGGGCGGGTGGCGGGGTGGGCGAGGAGGAAGTCGGAGACAGAGAGGAAGAGGTGCGAGCCCTGCTGCACCGCCCACTGCCCCACTCCCTCCACCGCCACTTGCACCTGCAGGTGCATGGAGGAGGGTGGTGGTGGTGGTGGTGGGCAGCATGAGGGAAGGCATTCCATGCAGGAAGGGTGAAACGTGAAAGCGCACAAGCTGCAGCAAGGCTGGACACATGCACTTGTTCCTCTCCCAACCCAGCACACAGTGGTGGCACACATCACACTTGAGTTCACATCAACCACACGGCATGGCTATGGCTGCTCACCTTGCCGCCTGCAGCGGCCATCTCGGCCTTGAGCTTGGCGGGGTCGCGAGCCATGAGCGCCACCTGCACCGCCGTGGCTGCTGCTGCATCGCCTGGTGGGGGGGCAGGAAAGGGCAGATGCAGAGAGGGTGGGAGTCTATCTCTCCTCACCTTGCCACCTGCACCGGCAATCTCCGCCTTGAGCTTGGCGGGGTCGCGCGCCATGAGCGCCACCTGCACTGCCGTGGCTGCCGCTGCCTCGCCTGACAGGGACGCAGGGAGGACGGGTGCACAGAGGGCGATGCATGCAGGGAGGAGGTGGTTGACGGATGCATGCATGCGGTAGAACCACCTTCAGTGCTGCACTTAGCTCCACGCTGACTCGAACATGTGTGCATTGGTGGAAGGCATGCAGAGGGGTGGATGGACAAGAACAAATTAAGCAACACACCAGAAGGTGAGATTGCGAAGAGTGGTTTGTGGGTACTTGGAATGAAAGTGCAAATGTGTCAATGGCATGGTGGTGTGATGGCATGGTGGTGTGACAGCAAGGAGGTGAGGCAGTGAAGGTGCATGTGCAGAGCACGCAGAGGACAGAAGCAGGCCAGCACAGCACACATGGCAGGGAGGCCACGTTGCCATCGAGAGAACTCACCGTGGCAGAGGTCAGCAGTGAGGGACGGCGAGAAGCAGAGAGCGGGGCGAGTGAGCGTGAGCGTGAAGGTGGCCCCCGCCACCCCGCTGTACCGCTCTGATGCCAGCACCACCTGCTCGCCATGAGGAACGGGGTGGAAGGAAAGGCGGGGTGGGGTGTATGTGCAGAGAGCACACGGGTTTACTTTACTCGTCCACACCCCTGCGAATAGATACAACTGAGGTGTGTACAGCATAAAAAAGGGGCAATGATGCATGCGAGGGGCACATACGGCATGGGAGGGGCAGTAGCGGGCAGAGAGTAGCGGCGCCCCCAATGCTTCCCGAATGTACTCCGCCTGGTGGGGTGGTGGGGACAGGGCGGAAGGGAGGGCAGCGCGGTGGAGCAAAGAAAAGTGAGCGGAGCTGATGGGGAGAAAGTAGTGAAAGCGATGGATGGGAGAAAGGGGAAGAGAGGAGAGGATGGGAAGAACACAGAGATAGGAGGCGATCACAACGAATGCACAATAGAAACAATTTAAAGAGGGGCACTTGCGGCTCGTGGCAGAAGAGGCAGCACCTGAGCCGCCAGAATGCGGTGCAGCGCCGACTCCTCAGCACCGTCACCGCCCTCCTTGCCATTCTCCCCGTGTGTGCCGTCAGCCCCATCGCCCCCATGCACGTGAATGAACGCCTCCACCGCATCTGACGGCTCCAGCCCCGCCCGCTTGCGCAGCTTCTGCACCCTGTTCACCACCTGGTGGGGAGTACGGCGACAGTGGGGCAGCACAGGGGGCGGACACAAGAGGGTTGTCAACGAGGGAGGGGGGTGGTGGGAGCTCAGCACGTTGGGGGGATGGGAGCGTTGAGAAGATGTGGGCTGGGTTGGTGTGGTGAGGCGTGGCGGCACGGAGATGGTGGCGACAAGGGCTTGGAGGCTGTCGTCAGACAGAGTGCACGCAGCCACTTCACATCCACACCCAGTGCCTGCGTGATTGAATAGACACACAAGTGAGAGGCTAGGCGAGAATAAAGAAGGGAGAAGGGAGAAGTGTGCAGAGGAGCAACACAGAGCACAACGAGCAGCATTTGCAGGGTTGTGGGACAAGGCGGCATGACAGACCACTCCCCTTCCCCCCGTCATATATCACTCGCCTCACCTCGCGCGCAGCACCGGCATGGAGAAGCGCGGTGCCAGCTCACAGGTGGAGCACCACGAGAACAACGAGCACCACGAGAACAACGAGCAGCACGAGAACAACGAGCACCGCGAGAACAACGAGCACCGCGAGAACAACGAGCACCACGAGAACAACGAGCAGCACGAGAACAACGAGCAGCACGAGAACAACGAGCAGCACGAGAACAACGAGCAGCACGAGAACAACGAGCAGCACGAGAACAACGAGCAGCACGAGAACAACGAGCACCACGAGAACAACGAGCAGCACGAGAACAACGAGCACCACGAGAACAACGAGCAGCACGAGAACGACGAGCACCACGAGAACAACGAGCAGCACGAGAACAACGAGCAGCACGAGAACAACGAGCAGCACGAGAACAACGAGCACCACGAGAACAACGAGCAGCACGAGAACAACGAGCACCACGAGAACAACGAGCAGCACGAGAACGACGAGCACCACGAGAACAACGAGCAGCACGAGAACAACGAGCAGCACGAGAACAACGAGCACCACGAGAACAACGAGCACCACGAGAACAACGAGCAGCACGAGAACAACGAGCACCACGAGAACAACGAGCAGCACGAGAACGACGAGCAGCACGAGAACAACGAGCAGCACGAGAACAACGAGCAGCACGAGAACAACGAGCAGCACGAGAACAACGAGCAGCACGAGAACAACGAGCAGCACGAGAACAACGAGCAGCACGAGAACAACGAGCAGCACGAGAACAACGAGCAGCACGAGAACGACGAGCAGCACGAGAACAACGAGCAGCACGAGAACAACGAGCAGCACGAGAACAACGAGCACCACGAGAACAACGAGCAGCACGAGAACAACGAGCAGCACGAGAACAACGAGCACCACGAGAACAACGAGCAGCACGAGAACAACGAGCAGCACGAGAACAACGAGCAGCACGAGAACAACGAGCAGCACGAGAACAACGAGCACCACGAGAACAACGAGCAGCACGAGAACAACGAGCACCACGAGAACAACGAGCAGCACGAGAACGACGAGCACCACGAGAACAACGAGCAGCACGAGAACAACGAGCAGCACGAGAACAACGAGCAGCACGAGAACAACGAGCACCACGAGAACAACGAGCAGCACGAGAACAACGAGCACCACGAGAACAACGAGCAGCACGAGAACGACGAGCACCACGAGAACAACGAGCAGCACGAGAACAACGAGCAGCACGAGAACAACGAGCACCACGAGAACAACGAGCAGCACGAGAACAACGAGCAGCACGAAAACAACGAGCAGCACGAGAACAACGAGCAGCACGAGAACAACGAGCAGCACGAGAACAACGAGCAGCACGAGAACGACGAGCACCACGAGAACAACGAGCAGCACGAGAACAACGAGCAGCACGAGAACAACGAGCAGCACGAGAACAACGAGCAGCACGAGAACAACGAGCAGCACGAGAACAACGAGCACCACGAGAACAACGAGCAGCACGAGAACAACGAGCAGCACGAGAACAACGAGCACCACGAGAACAACGAGCAGCACGAGAACAACGAGCACCACGAGAACAACGAGCAGCACGAGAACGACGAGCACCACGAGAACAACGAGCAGCACGAGAACAACGAGCAGCACGAGAACAACGAGCACCACGAGAACAACGAGCAGCACGAGAACAACGAGCAGCACGAGAACAACGAGCAGCACGAGAACAACGAGCAGCACGAGAACAACGAGCACCACGAGAACAACGAGCAGCACGAGAACGACGAGCACCACGAGAACAACGAGCAGCACGAGAACAACGAGCAGCACGAGAACAACGAGCAGCACGAGAACAACGAGCAGCACGAGAACAACGAGCAGCACGAGAACAACGAGCACCACGAGAACAACGAGCAGCACGAGAACGACGAGCAGCACGAGAACAACGAGCAGCACGAGAACAACGAGCAGCACGAGAACAACGAGCAGCACGAGAACAACGAGCAGCACGAGAACAACGAGCAGCACGAGAACAACGAGCAGCACGAGAACAACGAGCAGCACGAGAACAACGAGCAGCACGAGAACAACGAGCAGCACGAGAACAACGAGCAGCACGAGAACAACGAGCACCACGAGAACAACGAGCAGCACGAGAACAACGAGCACCACGAGAACAACGAGCAGCACGAGAACGACGAGCACCACGAGAACAACGAGCAGCACGAGAACAACGAGCAGCACGAGAACAACGAGCAGCACGAGAACAACGAGCACCACGAGAACAACGAGCAGCACGAGAACAACGAGCACCACGAGAACAACGAGCAGCACGAGAACGACGAGCACCACGAGAACAACGAGCAGCACGAGAACAACGAGCAGCACGAGAACAACGAGCACCACGAGAACAACGAGCACCACGAGAACAACGAGCAGCACGAGAACAACGAGCACCACGAGAACAACGAGCAGCACGAGAACGACGAGCAGCACGAGAACAACGAGCAGCACGAGAACAACGAGCAGCACGAGAACAACGAGCAGCACGAGAACAACGAGCAGCACGAGAACAACGAGCAGCACGAGAACAACGAGCAGCACGAGAACAACGAGCAGCACGAGAACAACGAGCAGCACGAGAACGACGAGCAGCACGAGAACAACGAGCAGCACGAGAACAACGAGCAGCACGAGAACAACGAGCACCACGAGAACAACGAGCAGCACGAGAACAACGAGCAGCACGAGAACAACGAGCACCACGAGAACAACGAGCAGCACGAGAACAACGAGCAGCACGAGAACAACGAGCAGCACGAGAACAACGAGCAGCACGAGAACAACGAGCACCACGAGAACAACGAGCAGCACGAGAACAACGAGCACCACGAGAACAACGAGCAGCACGAGAACGACGAGCACCACGAGAACAACGAGCAGCACGAGAACAACGAGCAGCACGAGAACAACGAGCAGCACGAGAACAACGAGCACCACGAGAACAACGAGCAGCACGAGAACAACGAGCACCACGAGAACAACGAGCAGCACGAGAACGACGAGCACCACGAGAACAACGAGCAGCACGAGAACAACGAGCAGCACGAGAACAACGAGCACCACGAGAACAACGAGCAGCACGAGAACAACGAGCAGCACGAAAACAACGAGCAGCACGAGAACAACGAGCAGCACGAGAACAACGAGCAGCACGAGAACAACGAGCAGCACGAGAACGACGAGCACCACGAGAACAACGAGCAGCACGAGAACAACGAGCAGCACGAGAACAACGAGCAGCACGAGAACAACGAGCAGCACGAGAACAACGAGCAGCACGAGAACAACGAGCAGCACGAGAACAACGAGCAGCACGAGAGCAACGAGCAGCACGAGAGCAACGAGCACCACGAGAACAACGAGCAGCACGAGAACAACGAGCAGCACGAGAACAACGAGCAGCACGAGAACAACGAGCAGCACGAGAACAACGAGCAGCACGAGAACAACGAGCACCACGAGAACAACGAGCAGCACGAGAACAACGAGCACCACGAGAACAACGAGCAGCACGAGAACGACGAGCACCACGAGAACAACGAGCAGCACGAGAACAACGAGCAGCACGAGAACAACGAGCAGCACGAGAACAACGAGCACCACGAGAACAACGAGCAGCACGAGAACAACGAGCACCACGAGAACAACGAGCAGCACGAGAACGACGAGCACCACGAGAACAACGAGCAGCACGAGAACAACGAGCAGCACGAGAACAACGAGCACCACGAGAACAACGAGCACCACGAGAACAACGAGCAGCACGAGAACAACGAGCACCACGAGAACAACGAGCAGCACGAGAACGACGAGCAGCACGAGAACAACGAGCAGCACGAGAACAACGAGCAGCACGAGAACAACGAGCAGCACGAGAACAACGAGCAGCACGAGAACAACGAGCAGCACGAGAACAACGAGCAGCACGAGAACAACGAGCAGCACGAGAACAACGAGCAGCACGAGAACGACGAGCAGCACGAGAACAACGAGCAGCACGAGAACAACGAGCAGCACGAGAACAACGAGCACCACGAGAACAACGAGCAGCACGAGAACAACGAGCAGCACGAGAACAACGAGCACCACGAGAACAACGAGCAGCACGAGAACAACGAGCAGCACGAGAACAACGAGCAGCACGAGAACAACGAGCAGCACGAGAACAACGAGCACCACGAGAACAACGAGCAGCACGAGAACAACGAGCAGCACGAGAACAACGAGCAGCACGAGAACGACGAGCACCACGAGAACAACGAGCAGCACGAGAACAACGAGCAGCACGAGAACAACGAGCAGCACGAGAACAACGAGCACCACGAGAACAACGAGCAGCACGAGAACAACGAGCAGCACGAGAACAACGAGCAGCACGAGAACGACGAGCACCACGAGAACAACGAGCAGCACGAGAACAACGAGCAGCACGAGAACAACGAGCACCACGAGAACAACGAGCAGCACGAGAACAACGAGCAGCACGAAAACAACGAGCAGCACGAGAACAACGAGCAGCACGAGA